ATGATCTTAGACGACTTGGTTGAGCTCACTGAGCACCCCTCTGTTTCTGAACTCCCTATCAATTGAGTGATTTGGGTGAACAGGTTTTTTTTTCCATAAAGCCATAGTACTCTCATCAAACTCCTTGGGGGAAAGCAATTAATCACAAAATTGAGAGGTATTATTGAAATACCTGTAACTATTGTCAGACAATGAACCAGGCTCAGAACTAAATGAGAGGAAGAGAACAGATGAAATCTCTTTTGGGAAACTGAGTAACACTTTGCCTGATTCCTGCTGTTCTTGAAACAAAATCCCATCTTTTTAACATTATTATTCTTCTGGTGATGTGTTATGACTGTAAGTCATGGAATGCCACATGGTTTGAGGAATCAAATCTGTAGGTCACTAAGATATCAATGGAGATATGCATGATAGACTGAAATAGGCTGCAAGGAATTATGAATCATGAATTCTGAGGAACACTTGGTTTAAAAGATATCAAAGATATGCATGACCAGAAAAGTGTAAGGGCCTGGGCTAGTCATATATAAACAACCAGTGATTATAGATATATAACCTGGGAGTTCCATAGTATCAAGAGATCTAGGCCAGCACCTAGCCTAGTACATTGTGTGGAAAACTCCCTACTGGAGTTTTCACAGAATATGAAGGCTCAGGGTTGTGATTTGGACCTTGGGAGGGAAATACTAACATTGATGAGATGAATGATTGAAAAAAACATTTATTAAAGGCTTATTGTATGCCAATCACTGGGGATATAGATAGAATGGTGAAGACAATCACAGCCCTCTAGGAACTCTGTGTTCTAATAAAGGAAGAGAATACATAGAAGAGTGATGATTTGGGACAGGTATTTTGTTTTGGAAAGTCATTAGGATGGTGAGTAGATTGACTCATACTTTGCAGTAGCTGTGACAGTATTAATTTGGTTGTGGTTCCAGAACGCTAAAGTTGGGGGAGAGTTGACACAAAATGGCTGAAGGTTAAAGTGAAACATAACTAGAGAGACCAGTCTGATGTAGGGTTAGATCACAGGTCCATTGGAGTATTGTCTGCATGAGTCATTATTTTCTATGCACAAGTAGATGAATAGGTATTTAAATTTATTTCTTATTATCATACTAGCATAATTTTGATAACTTGTTGAATAAGAAAAAGTAGCCAAAGAGGAAAATACACACATTTCTAAATCTGGAGATATCCTACCTTTTCAGTAACTTACATTAAATATGTGAAGGGATGCCCAGATAGAGTAGATTTAGGTTAATTGATTAACATCAACTATGAAGAACTCATTAACTTAAAAATTTTCAAAAATTGTTTTCTTGTCCTTTTATGTTTATTTAACAAGTGTTTTCATGCCTACTAACTATATGCTCTGGGGAATGTGGGATATAAGATGTACAAGAAAGTATAAAGCTGGACTGTGCTACAAGGAATTTACATATAATCTTGAGGTATATCTTTTAAAACTAAAGGAATTTTCATTTTTGGAAGTGACCATTTCACACCTATTTTAAACAGCTTCATTTATTTTTCCAGATAAGTTTTGCAGTTTCTTGATTAAAACCCTGTTCTGAAACTCCATTGTGGTGTGGAGGTGATCTTGGGTTCTAGAAGGCAGTGACAGCAAAACACATATTCTGGTAGGTTTTACCAAGCATTTGAATCAATGAAGAATGACACCATGACTTCAAGGTCAGGCTTAGCTCAATGCACTAGGCTTCATCTTTAGGATACTGGCCACCAGGAAATTCCTTTTTTTAAACAAGGCCATTCACAAAATCTAGAGGGAGGCATACCAGTGAAACCACTGATTTCTCAAAGTTCAAATTTGTAGCAATGTCAGAAAAGTCAATGACAATTTGGTTATTTTTTTCCACTAGAACTAATTTACCGTAGACTTTTTAATATGCTTACTGGGAAGATCAAAAACCTGGATGAAACAGTAAAGGTTTTATTTTCAACATATAATTAATTCTTTATCACCAAATATGTTTATTTTAACAAAATAACATATATTTCCTAATTTATAATTGCTTTATTATCTGAAATGTGAGTTAAGAAAACAAAAAGAGGAGTTTTGTTGAAAACAAAGAGGCCAAATCAATAAGAAAAAAAATTGAAATATTGGTGTGTAGCAAACATTTCCCTGGGTATCTGTCAACAGGAAGTTCTCCCTATCTGAGGGCCCAATTTGATTGGTCGGATTGATTGACCCAATCCCATCACTACCATCTATGGGAGTAAGGAGTGTCCTTTTATCTTAAATCTTTGATCTTTAACCTAGTTCAGTCCTTCTAGATATCTACCTCTGTTTGGGTTAATAAACTTCTCTCAATAGCAAAATCTATTTGCTATTATTTTGTGATGATTTGTAGGGTAAAAGACAACATGTCTTCGTTTTACAGTTCCAGATAGTTTTAACTCCAAGTCAACTAATCGACTTCTCCCTAAGTTCCATAGTTCTTATGAACTAGTTCTTTTCTTCCTGGCCTCTAGCAACAATATCTTATTCTATATGGAAATTTCATTCTTAAGTAGCCACTTGATTCTTTTATTATTTTTTATTTAAAATTTTTTTCAATTAACAATCTTTTGTTTCCCTTCTCCCTACACCCCTCATTAAAAGAAAATCAAAAAGATAAAAAAAAAGAATAATAGCAATAACTAGTATTTATATAATAATTTAAGATTTACAAAGCAACTTATAAATATTGTCTCATTTTATCCTTATGGCAGCCCTTGAAGGTGGATGCTATTATTAAACCTACTTTATAGATAAAAGAATTAAGGCACACTGAGGTTAAGTGACTTGTCCAGGGCCACACCACTAGTAAGTGTCTAGAGCTAGATTTTAACTCAGTAAGATGAGTCCTCCTGACTCCAGGCTCAGTGTTCTATCCACTGTACTACTTAGCTGCCCTCATATTGACTTAGAAAACCACATATTAACGTTATGTATGTTCTATTATATTCTTTCCACTGAGCCACCTAGCTGACTCCCATATGCATAGTCAAGTAAACCAAATCTCCTAGTTGGCCATTTTCCCAAAATATGTTTTATTCTGCCTTCTGTCAGGAGGTGGGTAGTTTCCTTATGGTCCTTTGAAATCCTGTTTGATCATTGTGTTGAACAGAGTTCTTAAGTCTTACAAAATTGTTTGTTTTTACAATATTGTTATTATTGTATAAACTGTTCTGTTTTTGCTCACTTCACTCTTCATCAGTTGATACAAGTCTTCCAGGTTTCTCTGAAACTGCATCCTTTATCATTTTCTATGGCACAATAGTATTTTATTACATTCATAGACCGTTGTTTGGCCATTCCCTAAATGATGAGTGACCACCTGATTCTTAATTTGTTATTCTATCTTCCCTTCGTTTTTTTCTCTCCCCAAACTCTTTAATTCCTCAAAGATTCCCAGCCTGAGGTTCAGTTCCATTTATTTATTTCTTCATCTCCCACTTGGATAACTTACAAAATCCATGCCCAATCCTCAGGTTTCATAGGGGGATCATATTCATTGCTCTCCTACTCTTCAGGTGCTAATCCAGCTTTGTCTCATCTGACCAACTCCACTACTGAGATATGGACTTACAATTATAAAATAATGTTACTAAGTTAAGATTAGTCTAGTATCATACAAAAGGATAAACATACACACATGCATGCACACACACATACACACTTTCTCCACTTGTAAATTAAGGTACTGTTTAAAAATATCATTGCTATCTCATAAGAGAGGCAGTGTGGTTCCTTGGATAGAGAACAGGCCTAGAAGTCAGGAGAATTGTATTCAAGAGACACTTCTGACCAATTCTGGCTGTGTGACCCTGGGCAAGTCACTTAACCATTGTCCCAGTTTCTTCATCCATAAATGGGACTAATAATAGTTCCTAACTCCCAGAATTGTTATGAGGATAAAATGAGATTATATTTGTAAAACACTTTATAAAACTTAAAAGTGCTATGTAAATGCTGGCTGTGATGTTGATGATATGTGGCCTCAGGTCACAGTCTCTTAATTTATCCAAGTCTCATTTTCCTTCCCTGGGAAATGAGATTGGACTAAATGATCTCTAAGATCCCTTCCAGCTTATTTATTAGCTGTGTGACCCATGGCAGTTCTCTAAACCTCTTCCATCCTCTGTTTTTACATGAACAAAATGGGGATAATAATAACACCAACTTTGGAGGGTTCTTTTGAGGATCAAATCAAATAGCAATATAGGTATGACATATGTAAACCACTTTGACATTCATTTTTTTAAAAAAAATTGAATTCCAAATTCTTTCTTTCCCTTCCTTTCCCCACCCAATGATAAGGCAAACAACATATCAATTATATGTATGAATTTATTCAAAATATATATCTATATTAACTATGTTGCCAGAAAATAAAAATAAAAAGCAAGAAATATAAAGAAAATGAAAAAAAGCACACATCAGTCTTCACTCATCGGTTTTCTCTCTGGAGGTGGATAGCATTTTTCATCATGGCTCCTTTGGAATTGTCTTGGCTCATGGTCTTGATCAAAGTAGCCAAGTCCTTCAATGATTTCCTGGTTCTACTCACTTTACTTTGTATCGGTTCATATACGTCTTCCCAGGATTTTCTGAAATCATCCTACGTGTGATTTCTTTTAGTACAATAGTATTCCATCACAGTCATATGCCACAGCTTGTTCAGCCATTCCTCAATTAGTGGGCATCCCCTCAATTTTCAATTCTTGGCCACCACAAAAAGAGCTGCTATGAATATTTTTGTACATGTGGGTCCTTTTCCCATTTGTTTGATCTCTTTCGGATATAGCCCTAGAAGTGCTATTGCTGGATCAAAGGGTATGCACATTTTTGTAGCCCTTTGGGCATAGTTCCAAATTGTTTTCCAGAATGCTGGACTAGTTCTGTGTGAAACATTTTGAAAATCTCAAAGAGCTGGATAAATGTTTTGCTGCTGCTGCTGTTACTACTACTATTGCCTTCCCAGGTGCCTTGATGCCAGGGAAGGGGTGCCATGGATAATGGACACAGAAGTTCTCTAGGTATTAATAAAGGTATGTTCCCTCATTGTAAAGTTATTAGGCATTGTAGTTTAGAAACCAGTAACTTGTGAGTTTGATTGGTGTAAATCAGTTCCGAGGGCTGGATCCTTCCTGGGTGAATGTATAAGATTGAATTTCTGAATCCGTACAAATGAAGACCAGTGTCTAGACTGGAATGATTTTTCCCAGCTGTCAGCCCTCCTACATGTCACTTTTGTTTGTTTGTTTGTTTGTTTTAGGCAATTGGGGTTAAGTGACTTGCCCAGGATCACACAGCCAGTAAGCGTCAAGTGTTTGGTCTGAGGCTGGATTTGAACTCAGATCCTCCTGACTTCAGGGCTGGTGGTCTATCCGCCGCACCACCTAGCTGCCCACTTTTGCAGCCTACCTATTCCCACTCCCTCTCCCAACAAATCTTTTTTTAAAATTCATTTTTTCAATTAATAAGCATTTATTTTCTCTCTCACCCAGAACCATCTTTGCCACAACATCCCCTACAGGTGGTACTTGCCTATAGAGGTGCCTAATACCTATTGGTGATGTTAATTAAAGAGCATTGCCTCTCATCTCTTGTGTTAAAAACAAAACTCAGGCTGTTATCTTCTCTGAAATGTTGGGGAGAGTTAAATTATGTTATAATCTCATCCTTAAATGGACTCTCCATTTGGGGGGGGGGGAAAGGAACGAAAGCGCTGGTGTGGGCCCAGAAGCCTGGCATCCTTGTTCACTTGCTCTGTTGATATGACCCCTGCATGAAACTTCCTCTCTTGGGTTTCTGAAACAGAGGAAAAAAAGAGGTTGGCAGGGCTGCCACAAAAGAAAAAAAAAAGAAATATCTTTTTGGTCAGATCTAAGAGGAAGGGTTTTATAAACCACTAAGAGACTGAATTTCTCTTCCTGTTAAGGGATTGGAAGGCTTTTTGGCCTATCACGATTATCTAAGAAACCCTGCCTCCTTCTAAATAAGATTTTGATGAAAGCAAGGGAGCCCAGGGAAAATGAGTTTTTATTGCAAATGTGCATAATTTAATTTGAAGCAAATTGGGAGTCTGGCTCAGGGAAGAACTGAGGCTGGGGAAAGGGTCATATCTAATTCTGATCCTCTAATTGTACAGACCAGTAAGTCTGAGGGTAGAAGCTTATAATTTTGGTTTGTCCTCACAAAAGCAGAGAAAAGTGCTTTCTAGTGCTAATGCCAGTTTGATAGGAATAGGAGAGCCCTATAGTGGCATTCGGGGCTTGCCTGTCAGCTAGCTGATGACGAAAAAGGGCTGTCTATTTAGACGACTCTTCTGGAAGGAAAGAGTAAAAACTGAGTTTGATGATAAACGTTTCTCTTCTAAACAAAACAACTGTTCAAAGACTTCCTAGGCAGTATAGGCACTGGTTGATTTATCTTAATTAAAATATACTTATTTAGCACCTTCTCTTTGGCTAGCCATACAAATTGGAGAAATGCAGAGAATATATCAAAGAACCAATAACTTCACTGGGGAAATGGGGCACATCACCTGCTTCTGGAAATGTGATTCTCCATACTAGGTGAGGAACAAATGCTTAGTAAATAGTTCATAGAGTAAATGCCATAGGGGTTCAGTGAGAGGAGAGATCATTTTGAGGCCCTTGGTCACAAAGGCCTTGTGAGAGATGTGAGGTTTAAAGTAGTTCTTTAAAGATAAGTGAGAATTGTAGAGGGTAGAGGACCTCATTATAGATGGGGCTGGAAAGATTCATAATAGGGTGCGTAGGTGAAAAAATGTCATGCGCATTTCGGGGACAGTGAGTAGACTAGTTAGGCTGGAGTGAATGGTTTTTGTAGTGGGCTAGTAAAAGAGAAGACTGGAAAGGTCAGTTGGGGCTAGATTTTGGAGTGCAAGCAATGCTCTGCTAAGGAATTTGGATTTCAGCCTGTAGGCAGTTAGGAGTCACTAAATGTTTTTAAGCAGGGGAATGGGGAGAGGAAGGAAGGGCATGATGAAAGGACATGATGAAAGTAATATTTTTAAGACAGTAAGCCTGGCCAGCTGGATAGAGTATAGGGAGAATGATTAGAGACAGAGACTAGTTGGGAGACATTGTAATAATGAAGGTGAAAGATAACAAGGACCTGGACTGTAGTAGTGGTGGTGGAATAGAGAAGAAGGGATGTAGAAAATTGGTAATAGAACTTTGTGATGGGATAGAGTTTTTTTTTTCTCTCTCTCTCTCTCTCTCTTTCCCTGTGTGTGTGTTGTTGTTATTGTTCAGTCATTTCAGTTGTGTTTGACTCTTTGTGATCACATTTCTTGGCAAAGATACGAGAGTGGTTTGCCATTTTCTTCTCCAATTCATTTTACAGATGTCAGAACTGGCAAACAGAGTGAAGTAACTTGTCCAGGGTTGGTTTTTTAATATAACCCTTTCTCCTACCCTATCCAGCAAGCCAACCTTGTAACAAAGAGTAAAAAAGAAAGTAGGCACAGGTGAGAGGCAATTTAACTGAACTAACCTTAAATTCTTGAACTGATCCTCATATATATGCGGTGTGCCATATTCACAATTCCCCATCTTTGCAAGGAAGGGAGGGACATACATTTTTCATCTCTTCTCCACATCCCAAAGTATTTTTCCAAAGTAGCTTCGTACTGTTGTGAGAAGCATCCATTTTCACTTTCTGATTATAAGCCAGGTCTTAACATAATGCCATGTTCTGTACAACTGAAGGTAGGTAAAGGTGCTTAGGTTTACTTCTTTGCTTTGCCTTAGTATAGGTGCCTACTTTTATCTATGAAATATTGATTGAAATATTTTGTAACTGTTGAATAGAAAGTAAGACTTAAAACAAAGAAAACAATGGTATAAAATTATGATATTTTGGTTTGTTAGTTTTACATTTTTCTAATTTTGTAATTTGTCACAGGATTTGGAGAAAACAGTATGTTTGACTAATTGTCCATTCTGGTTAACTGAGTACAATCTTAGTTGTCAAAATACACAGTATTGATTTTCAAAGAATTAGAATTTTAAAAAATATGGTTCTACCACTAAGCGTTATTTAATTTTTAGTGACTGTGATATAGAAGCTCCAACATTTTATGCCTTAGTACCATTGATGTAAGCATTGTTTATCATGGTATGAGTAGAAACGTGGTTCTCTGAGCTTTTTGTTTATTGGGATTCTGGCTAGATACTAGCTCTCTGTGTTTAAGTTAACACTATGATACGATTTGCGACCACTGGGAATTAGAGAATCACATAAGGGACTTCAGAGCTTTCCTAGTTCAACTTGTCATTTGACCTAGAATACCTTAAATTATGTTGACAAATAGCTACTCAGACTCTGCTTGAAATCTTCAGTGAGGAAAAACTGAATCTCTCCCAACTTTAATGCTGGGAAGTGTTTCCTTACAGCCAGTCTAAATCTAACTCTTTGCAAATTCTACATGGTTTTCCTGGTCCTGCCCTTTGGGACCAAGCTAAAGTCAACAAGCCTAATTCCTCTTTAAAGACTTTAAAAACAGTTATGTCCCTCTGCTTTCCATCTCTCGGCTAAATATTCACCAGTGACCCTTGTGTGGTAAAGTTGTCTAACCAGCCTCATCACCATCTGGATGAACGGTAGCTCAGAACTATCCTTTCACCAATGGGTCACCCATATTGAAGATAGGTCCCTCAGAGATCATCCATTCCAACCTCACCCTGAAGCAGAATCTCTTCTACAATGTATCTTACCAATGGTCATCTATTTGTTATAAGGAAGGACTTGGTTTTTTTGGACAGGAGAGATTGGTGGAGTTGGGGTGATTGACAGGGATAGGGAATCGATCTGTGATCTCATTGGCATAGGGTGATTCTAGATGAGAAAGCTTCCAACCGTGCAGGTTGGCACCTCCTCAGTAACTTTTAGTCTTCTATAGTGGTACTGAATTTCCTGTGGTACTGAAAGGCTAATTATTTGCCCAGTCATCCAGTCAGTATATGTCAGAGGTCTTCCTGTCCCTAACACCAGCTCTCTGTACACTTCCTTTGTAGTATTTGAAAAAGGAAGAAAAGGTTGTTGATGAATCATTAAAAAAAACTCCACAGAACAGAGCCCAAGGAAGATTAGAACGGGACATAGACAAGTCAGGACAGTGTAACTGTCATGTTAAATATAAAGCATGCAACAACAACAACAACAATGAACTTCAAGCTCTATCTAGTGGAAATTTACAGTTTCAGAAGCAATCCACCTTTTCTTCTTTGCGCAGGGAAATGTTAATACTTACTGCTGTTTGTCAAGTTCATAATAATGAAAAAGGAAAATTTACATTTCAAAAACGATCGTTAACCCTTGCTTGAAGACTTCCTAAAGCATTCATGATCAGCCTCAACTGGCTGATCTGTCATGTTCTTAATGTTCTGGTAGGGAAGAATGTGTATCTTCCACCCTGGTTCAGGGAAATAATTAAGCTAGCATGCTAAGGTGTCACACTTGGGTTCTTCAGGATGCGTCTTCCTCCTGCCTTCTGGTTATATAAGCTGCTTAAAGGGTTTGTACTATAGTGTCATGGCGTTCCTAAACTTCCTGCTCATGTAGACATGTCCTTCAAATGAATAGGAGGGCTTTTAGGGTGGATTTTCAGTTTCTGTTCAGGTGGACAAGAACAGGGAGTGGTAACTGAGATTGCAGCCCTTAAAGTTTGGCTTGAAGAACTCTTTAACTATTTGGGGGGGGAGGTGTCTCTACATTCAAGGATGGTTCATTCGCCCAAGAAATAGTTGTGGGTTTGTTTTTTTTTTTAGCCATACTACATTTGGAGAATTCAGTCCATTCTGTGGTAAAGATGGGGGTGGGGGATGGGGTAAGGATCCTTTCAGCTGAGTACAAGTGATTATATACCCAGGTGATAATTTAATTTCACGTATGTTTGTGGTATAAGAGATTTATACAGAGATCTCACTGAAGAAATTTATAGCTAAATCATAGCTCCAAAACCTGACTTATATAAGAAGTAAAAGAAAGAGAACCTTAGCTACTACTGGTTTAAAAAAAAAACAACACTCATTTGTATTGAGAATAAGATTAAGAGTGAGAAGCTTCTTATCACTGACCTTAATCAGATCTCTTTGACTCTCTCTTTGATTCATTTCTCATTTCTGAACAAATAGAATCTGTACCAGAAGAGTGTTAATGGCTGAATTCAGTCAAAATGCATTAAAAACTCATGGTCAATTTAAACTACCTTCAGAACAACAGGTTATTAGATTACACATATTAGATAATTCAGAAACATATAATTCTATAACTTTACTAGGAACTTGGGGTTTCCAGCTAAGTGGTGCTAAGATTAGAAGCAGCTCACTTAGGGAGAGCTCCCTCTGGATCAGAAGAGTAGATATCGGGGACAGCTAGGTGACACAGTAGATAGAGCTCTGGCCTTGGAATAGGAGGACCTGAGTTCAAATCTGGCCTTAGATACTTGACACTTAATAGCTGTGCGACCCTGGGCAAGTCACTTTACCTCTATTGCCTCACCAAAAAAAAAGTGGAGGGAAAAAAAAAAGAGTAGATAGCATAACCAGGGATGGGGAACCTGTTGGCCTTGAGGCCACATGTAATTTTCTAAATCCTTAAGTGTAGCCAAATTTTACAGAATAATTTGAATTCAATCAAAAGACTGCATTTAAGGATCTAGAAGCCCACATGTGGCCTCAAGGCCTCAGGTTCCCCACCCCTGCATAAGTAGTAGCCTTGCTAGTAAGGGACATGGCTGCTTGGTAGTATTGAAACTCTCCCAGTGGGAATGGATTTTGAACATATGATGGATTATCATACAGAAAACATCATCTTGTAAGTTTGCTTAAAAATAGTGAACATGAGATTACTACTCTTGTTTAGGGAGAGGCCTGAGCCCTGTATTTGGAGTGAGGCAAACAAGTCACTTCAGCTCTCTGAGCCTCAAGCAGCACTGTAAGATGTAGCTACTAAGTTCTATGAAGTAGGATGGGATGGATGGGATGGATGGAGTTCCTAAATCAGGGATATCACAGATTCTCGGCTGTCTGTTTCTTTTCCCCCTTTCTTCATAGAGTACGTTTCTAAATCATTCAAGTCATTCATCAAGAAGCATGGATGTGGATGGCCAGAGAGCCATCAATCTAGCATCCCACCCATCAGTAGTTCCCACCCAGAGTAGGTGCTTAATGAATGACACTTGACTGACTGTTAGCAGCTCTCAGGAGACCCTTTAATGTAGGTTCTTCCTTTGGTCAAGAGGTATAGGCCATACATGCCAAAGGTGTATAGCTTACTGAAGTGTTCCACTGTTCTACCCTTTTAACTAGGAAATTATTCCTTGGGGAGAAGGCATAGGCATAGGACCATGTACATGTACAGGGAGAGTGGCTTTATCTGGATAGAGGAGGAGATTATAGGATCAGAAGATGGTGGCTCTCAGGCCTATTTAAGACTAAGTTGGAGGGTAGAAAGGAACCAAGGGGTTTTTCGGTGCTGAAGGTGGCCAAGGTGTAGTGTAGGTAGAGAGTGGTGAGAGGAAATTAGGTCTTAGAGATCTAATTTTAAAATCTCTGTCTTTTTACAGAAGGTAATCCTGAGACCTAGAGAGAGGGTATTATATATATATTTTTTTAAATGGTCCATGATGCTTTCTCAAATCACACTTTCAGATGTTTAAAAGATAAGTGACCTCCAGGCCAGAGAATCAGTTGGTTCAGAAGACCCAAGAAGAGATCTTGTGCCAAGAGAACTGGTTTTTGATGGATGAACCTAAGGCTGTAATGAGGATAATTTCCTGCCCATAGGAAATGAGTGTTGGAAAAAACCTGTTCCCTGTTGCCAAATGGATACTACATCCCACTCAAATCCTGCTGAAATATAACCTTATTGTTATTTTTCCTAAAAGACATTATCAAAAACAGAATTGTTGGCTTTGGAAATGTGACGTTGTGACTACAAGAACCAAGTGCTCCGCAACCTCTAATAATTCAGAAGACCTCATGTAATATCCCAAAGACCTAGTGATGACCGGCCTTCTCTAACAGAGCCAACAAAGTCCAGTTGTAGAAAGTTGTAAGAAAGAAGAAAAAAGAAAGAGGAGAAAAAGTAATTCAACAAAACCAACCAACCCATTACCCCATGGGACAATATATACCCATAGTTTTGTACCCATAGCTCTCCACCTTTGCAAAGAGAGGAGGGAAATGTGTCTTCTTCCTCTTTTCTTCAGGAGCAACCCTGATCATTATTGTGATTATCAGGAGCTAGGTGAAGCTGTGACTTTTGTTCTTTCTGTATACTTCTCAGTCTAGGAAACCCATAGAAGACCCTGTACAATCCTGTAAAGTGCGTTATCCTTGTCCTCAATACCAAATGATGCTTCTTAAGCGTCCACCTATGAGGGTGGAGGAGGGAGGAAGCTAGGCCAAGTTATGAATGAAGCAAGCTAACCACTATCCTTGCTGCATATGGCTTTGTTAAAAAAAAAAAAAAAGACAGCTGCTATGTGGACACGAGAACAGAAAGCTGTAAAGTAACACTCAGTTATGTAGCACCGAGAAGAAAAAACATGGCAGGATCACAAACTTTGTTAGTTTAATAAATTAACTCTTTATATTAGAGTTATTTCACATTTATGTGCACATTGTATGACTTTATATGGTTCACAAGAATTGGGATAGAGCAAAGGATATATCATCAAAAAAATCAATAAATCAACTTCATTCTTAAAATGAAGACTTAAGATAAAAAGAAGACTTAAGGCAGAGGGTAAGGTGATTGAAAGGCAGTGGAAATCATCAAAAATCCTATTTGGTGCCACTCTGAAGAATTCTATAGGTAGGGCTAGATTTCAAAGAAAATTGCTATGATCTTAACTCCATCAGGGATGGACAAATACTTTAGCCTCGCCCATTTTTTTTGTTTGTTTATGGTTTCCAGTGGTGTTACTGTTCCAGATTTAACCCCTACAGCCATATACCAGCTTATAATGACTAATACCATATGTCATTGTTTTGGAAACTTTAGCATGTTAATAGTTTGTGTCTTCGAGCCTTGATTTCTGCTCTGACCCCTTTATTCTCAACATGTGCCTGTCTGATACATTTAAATCAACAACTATGTGTCAGGTACTATACTAAGCAATGGAGCTGGACACACCCACACCCACACCCACACCCACACACACACACACACACACACACACACACACACACACACACGCGCGTGCGCACACACACAATGAATTAGAGATAGTTTTGGAGAGGAAGCACTAGTTAATGGTACATAATAAGGGAGAGTGGAAAATCCTTCTTATAGAACGTAGAATTTTAGTTGAGATTTGAAGAAGGCCAGGAGGAAAAAGGTCATTCCAGGCATAGGTTTGGTTCATTGACAATGATCAGTCAGGAGATGGAGTGTCTTTGTGAGAAACAGCCAGGAGGCCACTGCCAATGGATTGTAGAGTACCTGTAAGGGGGTAAGGTGTGAGAAGTTTAGAAAGGCAGCCCAATGGGATTTAAGCTTTTCTGTGATATTTCTCCCCATCTTCCCCTGGCCACGGGTGACCTTTCATTTGTGTGCTTCATTCTCTTCTAACACTGTAGAGACCTTGCTCCAACAATTATCCCTTCACTGACATCTTCAACCTATCCTCTTTATCCACTGCCTCCTTCCCAGCCAGTACAAATATGCCTCAGTATCCCTGAATACAAACAAAAACCCTTCCGTCTGTCCTGCTACACCTCCGACTGTCCTGCCCCTCCCTCGTTGTTCCTCTTAATTGCCAATGTCCTTGAGTAGTCTGTGATTATTGACTTCTGCACAACACTGAGATGCACGCTGAGAGGCAATCGCAAACCTTCCAACTGTCAAATCCAAAAGTCTTTTCCCAGTGTTCAGTTTCTTTGACCTGTCTGTAACCATTTGCTGTTGATGACTTCCTCCCTCTGGGTACTTTCTGCTCTTGGCTCCCATGGCACTTCCATCTCCTTATTTCCTTATTTTAACTGTGGGACTATTCTTTCTCTGGCTTTTCTTTTTTCCCCCTGCCCTTTACATGTCATGAGTGACATTAAGCAACTTGCTAAAGTCATAAATGCAGTAAGAAGAATCCAAAGGGGACTTTGACCCTAGGATTCTGTGACTTCAGTGCCTATACTCTTTCTATTGCATCATGCTGCAGTTGTCTGTGCAAAGTCTTTCTCTCTTCTCTACATTCTCTCCTTTTGTTATCTCTTCCACTCACATACCACTATTGCTTTATGTGGAATGACTGCCAGGAGAGTAGTTCATTAGTATAAGTCTTGGGCTTAGTCTAGAAGACCAGTCTTGCATCTTCCTTTAGTAAATGATGCTTGTGCCTCCCAATACATAACCTCTCCTGTCTCACCTTTCCCTTTCCACTGTCACCATCCTAGTTCAAGCCCTTATAGCGTCTCTTTTGGATAGTTGCAGTTCTAGCCTCTGCCCGCTCTGATCTATCCAACCCACTACTATAAGTAATCTCCTGATCCATAAGAATAGTCACATTACTCTATCGTTTAAAAATATTCTGTGACACTTTGCCCTGTGATTCAAGAGTGTTATTTGCATGTATATTTTTGTTTAAAATTAAACAAAGAGTCATTCCATCTAAGTTTTTAGATTCTATATCCTGCTTAGTTAAGAAATACAAAATCTTCTGTTTGGCATTCAAATTCCTTTATAACTTGGCCCCCTCCTACCTTTCCAGCTCCTTATCTACCTTATTCCATTTCCCACCCCCCTTCCCAACACACACACACACACACACACTATGTACTCTCTGATCTAGTCATTGGCTAGCATCCTTGCTATTCCTCACACAAGGCTCTTGTCAAGTAACTTGTGCCATTTTCACTGTCTGAGCCCCTTCCCTGGTCTGCTGTCCCTCATCATCTCTACTTCCTGGCTCCCTTCAAGTCCCAACTAACATCTTTTACAAGAAGCCCTTCCTAAGCTCCTTTAAGTTTTTTCCCTCTGTTGATTATCTTCAAATTTATCATGTATTTATCTTTTTTGTACATAGTTTTTATGTATGTTGTTTCCCTTATTAGACTGTGAGCTCCTAGAAGGCAGGGACCATTTTGCCTTTCTTTTGTGTCCCCAGTGTTTAGCACAGTACAAGGCATGTGGTAGTACTTAATAAATTACTTGTTGATTTGATTAAAAAATATAATGAAGAGCATTAATGTGACCTTTTGTATTCTCCAGCCAATGATGTCCTTTATCTGAGTCAATAATGAATCGTATATTTAGAGATTCTTATTGACTCCTTCTGTCTGAGTAACCTGGTATCATTTGGAGGGAAGGATTTTCTTTTAGATTAAAAAATTTAGGTAACTCTTTAATAGTTGGCTTGGTAGCTATGGGTCTTGTAATACCTAGAGGGTTTTACTGGACATCAGGGCTTTAGAATCTGTATTGGATCCACAAAAAGCAGAGTGGATTCAGCCTTGACCCAATTTTCTAGCATTGCCACTTCACCGTGATTAATATTTAACAGACATCTGAGAATCCAAATATAATACGTCTTGAGGCCATTATAGAATCCAAGGAACCAGCCACATTAATCCAAACTTGGCAGGTGGTTAGGAGATTTTTGTTTTTATTCTGAGGAGCTCCTTTATTTTTCACCTCAAGAAGATTTGTCTGGTTTTGAGCCATTTGGGGAGGCAATAATGTAAATATTTGAACTGTTGCCCCAGAAGAAGCTGAGAATGCAAAGCTACCTTTACCAAAGCCAGAATCTGTTTTGTCTGGGATGATGGAGAAACAGCTGGGCAGTGTAAAGATGATAATCTTTGCTAGACCACTTGCAAGCCCTTAGTATAAAAGGAAATCCCAAGTTCAGATTTTAAAAGCATCTTGACATCTTAAAGCAATACGCCAGGAAAAAAACCTGTCTTTAATAATGAATGCAGTGGGAAAAGTCACTAAATTTGGAAAAGATTTTTGAGTAAGGAATCTTATTTAGAAAGTAAAACAATGAATTTTTTTAAAGAACTGATTTTTCCAAACTGTATCCTAAGAGATTTAGTGCAGAGAAACACCTGGAAAATCAATCGAAGGATTATGAAAATATTGCTAGAATGAAGAAGGTGTTTTGGTGTTTTTATACACCAGGAAGTCATTTGAAAAAATATATCCTGGCCCCATAGTACTGAAGGGAGGGGGAAGCTTATGCTCTGGAGAAATTGGCAGCGGAATTGCTTTTGTGGGGTGATTCCTATGCATTTCCCTTTGGGTAAAACTTGTGGTTTTAAAAACCAAAAGCAGAGTAAGTTTTAAAAGCTGTTTTCAAGCTCAAAGCCAACTGGATTGAAATATTCTCTCCCCAAAAAGAAATTAATTCCAACAGATGACTAAACCCATGGCTGCTAGGGATTGCTGTGCCTCATTTTGGGAGTGTGCTTTACTTTGGTTTCCCCATCAAACTCAGGGTTGATACTCTTATAGATAGACTAGGAAAGGGGGAGAAAAATATTCAAGTTGGTATCCTGGAAGAACCTGTGCATTTCAAAAAAGCCAAATTTTTTAATTCCAACCAAAACAAATGAAAATTTTTCTGTGTGCTCCTGAGTACTAACCATGAGTTTTGTCTTAGAGTAAACAGGTATATTTTTAAGACTTCCTTAAGTTACCATCATTTAAAAACTGGACTTTCATCCGTTACTTTAAAATATGTGTGTATAATTCTAAGTTACAGGAATCCAAATTTGTGTGCGTGTGTGTGTGTGCACGCACGTGCATATGTGCACAAGTGTGTGTTTTGTCTTTGGTGCCATTTCTAGATATAGCTTTATAAAATGCTTAAGGTAGGTTACTTTATGTGTAAATCATAGAACAATTAAAGACAATAATCTGTAAGCAACTAATGGAACTTTGATGTGGAATGTTATGTAAACACTGTTGATTTAGAAGAATTTAATATGCAAACAAATTAAGAGTATTCCTAATTTGCATTTCCCTTTCCTCTACCTGTACCCTGCCCTGCTCTTTTGTTATATAAATAAAGTATAGTACACTGAGACTCCATGATATTGCTGTACTCCTTTGTTTTTTTTCCCTCTTAGGTTAAATGAAGGGGATCTTCAAAGCATTGTTGATATAAAGTATTCACAAAGTTTTGAAGATTTTATTAGATACACTGGAAGTCAGTCTGTTTCCTGAAATCAACAGTAAATTGAGTGTCACAGAAAGCTTTTTCTTAGTATAGAGGACACAATAAATGCTCATCAACAATGCTGCTAACACACACACACACACACACACACACACACACACACAGTCAAAATTGCTAGCAGAATGAAATGTTTCCGTACTTGTATGGACTTACTTAATATTCGTTGAGACAATGTTAATTCAAATGAATATACATTTAACTTTCCCGTGGGTTATTTCATTATTCACTTGAGCTTAGAAAAAGGCACACAGATTGGTAGTGTCATTTGCATTTGTGAATAACTTAAACTCTCCTGTTGTGTGATGGAATACATAAAGCATTTATTAAGTACTTACTATGTGCAAAGCACTGTGCTAATTATTGAGGATACAGATAGAAAAGTAAAACTGCCCTTAAGCATCTACCTCATGCCAGGCACTGTGCTAAGCACTGGAGATACAAAAAAAGGCAAAAGATAGTCCTGCCTTCAAGGAGTTTACAGTTTAGTGGTGGAGACAACATGCAAACAAATATACACATATAGAAGTTGTATTATATGTGTTTTAATTTGGAAATGTCATTACCAAATATAGCACATCACCATTATAAGACACCACCAGGAATTCCCTCTTCACCATTCCTGACGAGTGGTTATTTCACCTTTACTCCAGGACTTCCTGTGAAAGGTTGTTCCCTACTTCCTGAAGCAGCCCATTTCTCCTCTTGAATAGCTCTCATTGTCAGACCTATGAAGTGTTAATCAGTTTTTCTATCAAGCCAAAATTTTCCTCTTTGCACTTCTACTTGGCTCTTGGTTCTGCCTTAGAACCTACTTAGATCTAATTCCTTTTCCACTGGACAGTCTATCAGATGCTTGCAGACAGCCATCTTATGTTCCCCTTTTCTCCCACCCCCTACTCATTCTTCTTGGGCTTAAAATTTCCATTTATTTTAACCAATCCTCAAATGACATTATCTCAAAGTCCCTCACCATCCTAGTCGCCCTTCTCTGGACATCCATTCTCCAGCTTATCAACAGCCTTCCTCATTTTCGCTGGCTGTTTCTCATGCCTGGAAATCTCTCCCTTCTCATCTCTACTTCCTAGCTTCCCTGGCTTCCTTCAGGTCTCAGTTAAAATCCTATCTTCTGTAAGCATAGAAAATTTATGTTTACATTGTACTGTAGTTTTTAAAGTGTCCAATATTATGTCTAAAAAATACTGTATATAACCTTAATTTAAAAAATTCCTTATTGCTAAAGAATGCTAATCTGAGCCTTCAGAGAGTCATAACCTTTTTTCTACTGGAGGATCTTGCCTTGGTATTGATGGCTACTGGCTGATCAGGGTGGTAGTTGTTAAAAGTTGTTGAGGGTTGGGGTGACTGTGGTGATTTCCTAAAATTGTTATCCAATGAAGTTTTGCCTTGTTGGATTTACTCTTCCTTTCACTTGAATACTTAAAGGCCATTGTAGAGTTATTAATTGACCTAATTTTAATATTATTCTGTCTGAAGGACAGGGGGGCCATAGGGGAGAGAGAGAGAGAGAGAGAGAGAGAGAGATAGGGAAGAGCTAGTCAGTAGAGCAGTCAGAACACACACAACATTTATCGATTAAGTTCATTGTCTTATATGGGTGCACTTTGGGGTGCCCCCAAACAGTTATAATAGTAATATAAAGTTCAGTGATCACAGACAACTGTAACAGATTTGATAATAATGGAAAAGTTTGATATATGGTGAGAATTACCAAAATGTGACACAGAGACACAATGTGAGCTCATGTTGGGGAAATTGTGCCTATAGACTTGCTCCGTGTAGGGTTGCCACAAAGCTTAAGCACAATAAAGCAAGCTCAATAAAACAAGGTATGTCTTTCCATCTTATTTTTCTGTAGTTGTTTTCATTCTATCTTCCCTTTTAGAGTGTTAGCTTGAGAACAGGGGCTGTCTTGTATCCCCAGTGCTCAGTACATTTCTTTGCACATAGTAAGTATGCACTCGATAAATACTAGTTGATGTGAATGATTTACCTATTCTCAGCAATACAGTGATCTAAGACAATTCCAAAGGACTTATGATGAAAAATGCAATCCTCCTCCATAGAAAGAACTGATACAGTCTGAATGCAGGTAGAAGCATACTATTTTTCACTTTCTGTGTTTTTTTTCATGGTTTTTTCCCCCTTTGGGTCTGTGTCATCTTTCACAACATGACTGAAATGGTAATATTTTTTCATGATAATATGTATAACCCATAACAAATTGCTTTCTATCTTAGGGAGGGGGAAGTGAGGAAGAGAGAGAGAAAATTTGGAACTCAAAATTTTAAAAAAATGAATGTTAAAAATTGTCTTTACATGTAACTGTGGAAAAAATAAAATATTATTAAAAAATACTAGTTGACTTCTTCCTAAAATCTGGCTCCCCATACTGGACATATCATTTCAGATTTTGCCTCAGAGTACAGTATGATAGTACTACCACCTTTTAGTCTGGAAATAGCATTCTCTGTGTTGATGATTATTACTGCCATTGAGTCTGGGCTTTCACTGACATTCATAGAACTTTTTTCTTTCAAAGGAACTGCTTTCTAGTCAAAGCTCCCCAAATTGTACTTGTTGAATTGATTTTTTAAAAATCATAGTATAGGACTTTCCATTTATCCTTATTAAATTTCAACTCATTAGATTTAGGCCAGTGACATAGGCCATCAAGATTTTTCTGGATCCTAATCATTATCCCAAGTTAGCAGTTCTTTTCAGTTTTATGTCATTTACAAAATTGGCAGGTATGCAGTCTTTGCCCTTATGTAAGTCACTGATAAAAGTGTTATCAGTATAGCCAGGTGTAGGTCCCTGGCCCATCGCACCAAAGACCTTC